AAAATTGTGTTGTTTTAATTAATTTTCTTCATTCTAGTGAATTATTGTCGTACTTTTCCTCTTACGTAATGTGAGAATACGAGTGAATGTTAACTTGGAGTTATGTAGAGAAATTATTATCCATAGATAACCGTGGATACCCGAAACCCAAACAGGTATGGGCATGATTTTGATTTTCTATTCGTTTCTTATGTGGATATGGATATAGGAAAACCCGAACTACTTTGGCTAGAGTAACGGATATGCACTATCCGCCACCTACCCGATCCATTGCCATCTAAGTAAAACTACTTTTGATAGCCTAAAAAATGTGAAACCAACGTTAGAGATGGCAACGGGGCGGATCGGGGCCGGGTACCCCGGATCCGTTGCCCGCCCACCATGGGCCTCGGGTATCCCCGTCCCCGGCCCAAACGGACATTCGGGCCATGTTGGGCAACCATCCCAAAACCCAATGGGTATTCGGGTGCCCGCGGGTCCATTGTACCCGCTAAAACATGAACAAAAAATTGAAAATATTCTGGAAAACTGGACTCTTCTCACTGTATTATTAATAACTGATCTGTCAAAGACTCAAAAGGACTTGAAATGAAAAACAAAAAGCTTGCCAAGCTGCAATTGTTGCCACTACACCAGCAGCTCAGCAACAACAACCAAAAACAAACATTTATTTCGTGTATCACTGATAGAAATTATCAAATCAACCAAACAACCAACAAGTATCAGCAGACTCTGAATTCTAAATGTCTAATTCTTAAGAAAAAACTGTATAATGAAATGTGTTCCAAGCAACAGCAGCGCAGCAACATTCCATCTAGGTTCCAGCAACATCGAATCATTGAGCAATCTGCAATCATCCACCCGACCACCCCTGACCCTCATTCCAATCGATGTAAACCAGCAGTCTAGCAGACATCAATTGAAACTGTGTAAAGAACATACAAGAGGAATGAATCAGTTAGTAAATGTCCAATGAATAACACGTCTGCATCAACGACAACAAATAAAGACCTTTACCTTGGTCCCACAGCAGATTACCAATCAGTCTTCATGGGCAAATGGTGATCTCATTAAGGTGAGCTCTGGATCTGAAAAAGGGAAACAATGCAAAGGTAAGTATTCCTAAATGAACTAATAAAAATTAGAACACACAATGGAATTATGGAAAAATGATATATTGATCTTACCACCAGGTTCTGCCTCTTCCACAGTTGTATCTTCGACTGTCATTGTTGAGAAGAGTCCATCCAATGCCTCCACAGCAGCCTCCGAATCTGCAGAGAACCAGTTCAATGAGTACATACTGTTGTTAAACGTAAAACAATAAATTTGAGAGTTTTAGTTGCATGTTACCTCGTTGCATGTCCTCCATTATCCAACTCCTAGTACACATCATTGCCTCAACAGTCGAATAATGCAGCCTGCTCCGGTGAGGGTCTAACAACCTCCCACCAGAACTAAATGCACTCTCAGAAGGCACAGAAGTAATAGGGATTGCCAGAAAGTCCCTTGCAATTGATTGCAAGGTGGGATACTTCAAACCATTCAATTTCCACCACAAGAGCAGATCAAACTCTGCTGTGCGAGGAATGATATCCTCAGCAAGGTACATATCCAACTCAGTTGTAATCAAGGAAGTCTTACTCTTTTTCCTTTGACTTACAAAGAGTTCAAAGTCAAGTTCAGTGGCAGAGGCAGATCCAGAACCAGAAGAAGTTCCAGTTTCAGAACCAGATTTGTTCTCAGCTTTGGTTTGATAATCACGAATCAAACCACATATCATTTGCTTGATATTCTCAGCAACCAAATCAGTTTCTGTATTCCCAAACTTTCCAGCATAGTATTCAATCACATGGAGTTTATATCTAGGATCCAAAACAACCGATACAGCAAGCACAAGATGTATATCATCCCAATACTTATCAAACTTCATGGACATTTGACTAGCCATTCCAAATATCACCGGATTGGGATCAACACCCCACTCATTCAGTTTAAGTCTGAGATCACAAATCTTGGGGAAAAACAGATTGGCAGTGGGATATTTGGAACCAGAGAACAACTCAGTAATCTCAGAAAAGATTTCCAGCTTCCCAATCACAGTAGAAGCAAATTCCCATTGTTCACTAGAAGGAACTGATGTGTAATGATTGTCTCTCAAACTCAAACGAAAGAACACATCCTTGTAGGGAATAGCAACAGAGAGCATATGATAGGTGGAATTCCACCTGGTTGGACAATCAAGGACTAATTTTCTCTCAACAGACAGCTTAAGTTGCTTAGCAACTTCGAAGAAGGTTTGAACCCTCTTAGGTGTAGAATTCCAGTAAACTACACTCTCCCTAATCAAATTTATAGCATCCTTGATTGCATCCAAACCATCCCTTACAATCAAATTCAGAATATGAGCAGAACACCTCATATGAACCAATTTACCATCAAGCAACAAGTCACTGCTCAGAAGCTTATTTCTCATGTGGAAAATCATGGAATCATTGGTGGTACAGTTGTCCAATGTGATTGAGGACAACTTACCATCAATGTTCCAATCCAAAAGACAATCAAACAACCTATCAGCAAGCCTTTCACTAGTGTGAGGGGCTGGAACATACATAAATCTCAGCATTATGTTACGCAGCTTCCAAGAATTATCAATGAAGTGACCAGTTACTGCCATATAACCCCTTTTCTGATTTCTGGCAGTCCACAAATCAGTTGTAACAGAAACCCTCCCCAGATTACCATCAATAATGGTCTGATATTTACCTCTTTCAACACCAAACAAACTCAAAATGTCCTTTTTGACAGTGTTTCTACTAGGAACAGCGAATTGAGGTTGAAGAGAACAGCAAAAACGTTTGAAACCCACATGATCAACAAGGCTAAGGGGGTACTCATGGACCAGAATCATTGAACAAAGTTCCTTCCTAGAAACCTCATAATTGTATTGAGAAGCAGAGAGTTGAGGATTTCCAGCAAGTTTATAGTTAGGGCCAAGTATTTTTTGAGAACCATCATGTATCCTCTTTTGGATACATGTTTTGATATGGCTTCTTAGGTGTGAAGTTCCATTACTTGTTTCCCCACCAAGGGATTTACGACAGTACTTACACCTAGCCTTCATAACCCCATTAACCCTAACTCGGTTGAAGTGAGGCCACACATCAGAGGTTAACTTACGTTGAGCTTCAAGCTCCTCAACATTACCAGGTTGTTCAGGTTGAGGTTGGACAAGTTGTTCAGGTTGGACAGGTTGTTCAGGGACATTGACATTGGGAGCAAGGTCAACATTTATAGCAGTAGGAGCACCTTCCATCTGAACATAAAAAATTTATGTATTACTACTTAAGCAGTTAAGCCTTAGTTATTATTTATTAACTTAGTTACATTCACATTTCACAATGACAAGACTACACTTGCAAACAAAAATCTTTAGCATCAAAATCACGATTACAGTTTCATTAATTTTACTTATTAGCATTACTTATCAACTGATTGTCACAACAGCATTATAATCAAACAGACAACACAGTGAGTTGAGGCTTAGGAGAGGAGGACGGGATTACCTTCTCAATTGTAGTTTTTATGTGGACTGTCGAGTACCCAATGACAGTAGATTGACCCTCACTGCTCACTGAAGTGCTCACTGACTCTGTTCCACTTCAGTTCTCGATACCAGATCCAACCTAGGCCAAACAAGAGTGAACAATTACAACGAACACAAAGCATTAGAACTTAGAAGTTAGAACTGCAATTCTGCAAATGAATGCATGCATGTCTGTATTGACACCACTAACCCATAAATTAATAAAAAGTATAGACGAGAGACCAAGCAACTTACCCTCGATGACTGGACTTTGTTCCACTTCAGTTCTCGAAACCAGATCCAACCTAGGCCAAACAAGAGTGAACAATTACAACGAAAACAAAGAAAGTTAGAACTTAGAAGTTAGAACTGCAAATGAATGCATGCATGTCTGTATTGACACCACTAACCCATAAATTAATAAAAAGTATACACGAGAGACCAAGCAACTTACCCTCGATGACTGGACTTTGTCTGGACTCTGGAGGCTCGGCTAAATCCCTCGATCTCTGCTCTCTCACTCTCTGTGGACTCGACTGGGGTGGTCTTGTTCTCGATTTCAGAAGATGGCGTGGCGAGAAACGACCCCTCCGCTCTGAATCCCCCCTATATATACCAGTACAAGAAGAGTTAGTATAGAGTTGGAGGAACGGGGAATCAGGGAAGATAGGTGAAAGAAAAGAAAGCAACCCAGAATTAACTTATCTTTTCGACTCGAAGAATCCGCGATTTGAACTTCGAACGCCTCGTTTTTGGACTGCGGCCGACGAAATCTTCGTCGGATGGTTGCTCTTCGCCTCTTCCAGCCATGCAATTGGTCGAATGGAGGAATTGATGAGGGGGAATGGCGAAAAATCGGCCAGATCGCGATTATCTAGCGATCTGATCCCTAATCGCTACAGAGGAGGCAGAGAGATTGAGAGGAAGAAGGAAACTAGGGTTTCCGTTTTTGGTGAAGAATGAAAAGTGAGGCGGCAGCTAGGGTTTCTCAAGGGGAAAGTGGAGAATATATACTTCCTTCCAAACGCCGTCGTATTCAGCACGGGTAACCCGTCGGTCGGGTCGCGGGGCGGATACTGGACGAACCACCACCGCCCGAAACCCACGGTTGACGGATAACGGGTAAACCGCCACCCGTTGACGGGCCCAAAAAATCAACCATTCAAGGCCCTTATCGGGCGGGCTTCGGGCGGATACCCGCTTTTGGGCCCCGGCCTGCCAAGCCTAACCAACGTAATTAACTTTTGGGAACCATGATTAGTCGCATAATTAGTGGGTCTGATATTTCAATGTAAATAAATAGTAAATAATTAAATATTCGATCAAGAAAAAGTTGAATCGAAAAGAACAACTTTTTCTCTTATTTTTTTCTTTTAATAGGTTCCAACCCAACCCAATTTCCCAGCTCCCTCGGCTCGAGCTTCTCCGCTCTTAAAACCCACCAAACAACCACAAAACTCTCATTCTAACCGATCGGTATTTGTTCTATTTGTTTACGGGCGATCTCTCCTCTGATCTGGTCTTTTGTAAGTTGGCACTAGGTGGTGATCATTTTCCTTCGTCATGATCTCGCTCAAACACTCTCGCCTAGCTCCGCCGATCAATGGATCTGACACTGTTTTCCGCCGGAAAACCCCCTTGGCGGCTGGGAAAGCCTTCTTTTTGCCACCGCTTGCGGCTCCTCCTAAGGGTTTGAAACCCTCCCTCTCAGTTTCGAAGCCTTTGCACCTCACCTCTATCGAGGCTTTTTCTGCCAGGGAGAGTAGTGCGCCCTTGATCGTTTGCAAAGCGTATGAAGCTGATCGGCCAGAACCGATTGACGCTAGCGATGCCAAACCAGAGGCGGCGAGGAAGGTTAAGATCGGAATTTACTTCGCCACCTGGTGGGCGTTGAATGTCGTTTTCAATATCTACAACAAGAAAGTGTTGAACGTCTTTCCGTATCCATGGCTTACATCCACTCTTTCGCTTGCTTGTGGATCTCTGATGATGTTGATCTCCTGGGCTACAAGGATTACGCCGGCGCCCAAGACGGATTTTGAGTTCTGGAAGACTTTGTTCCCTGTAAGTTTCATTTTCGGAGTTTTTGTTTGGTTTTGAGATTTGACGGGAAAGTGAGTAAATTGGATTGGAAAATGATGGTTTTGTTTTCATCTGGGTGATAGTTTTTGTTTCCTTTGCGTACATTTGACAAATTTGTTGGTTTCCTGTGATTTCATTTCTGAATTTTTTGAGATATGTAGCTACCCATTTTGTATATGTCTGTGTAAACCTCAATTTTGGATTTTTCTCCCTCACAAAGCTTATGTGGTTGATAATGGACTGAAATTCTTTGCTCCTTCATAGGTTGCAGTGGCACATACAATCGGGCACGTTGCTGCAACCGTGAGTATGTCTAAGGTTGCAGTTTCATTCACTCACATCATCAAGAGTGGTGAGCCAGCGTTCAGTGTCTTGGTCTCTAGATTCATCTTGGGAGAGTCTTTCCCTGCCGGAGTTTACTTGTCCCTCCTCCCAATTATTGGTGGTTGTGCTCTTGCTGCTGTCACTGAGCTCAACTTTAACATGACTGGTAATGTTTGATTCATTGTTTGCTTTTCATTTTTAACCATCAATATAACCCAGCTCAAATTCTAAACTGGGTTCTCGTTTGACATATGAATGACAGTTTAGAACTCTGTTTACCTTAAGCTAAGCGCAAACGCATTTTTAGTTATGTTTGTTTTCTTTTGTAGCTTGTTTTCTGGTCTTCTGACAAGCCATGTGATATTTATTTGGTCTTATTCATCTACTCCTCGGATATATATATATGTCGATAGAGGAGATTATGTTGCATAGGTTGGAGTTTTGTGGCCTCTTTCCTGACTTTGCTGATTGTGTTGTGGGGTTTTTGTTGTCCATTGCAGGTTTTATGGGGGCCATGATCTCCAACTTGGCATTTGTATTTAGGAACATATTTTCAAAGAAGGGTATGAAGGGCAAGTCAGTCAGTGGAATGAACTACTACGCTTGTCTCTCTATGTTGTCTCTGGTGATTCTCACACCTTTCGCCATTGCTGTTGAGGGACCACAGATGTGGGCTGCTGGGTGGCAAAACGCCCTTTCTCAGATTGGACCCAATTTCGTCTGGTAATTTTCTTGCAATTGAAAACACACTGTTGTTGATTTGTTTATTCTGTTTTACTGGTAATCTACCCCTGCTTATCTCTAGTACATTTCTGTAATTTATTGATACTACAGAGCAGCTGTTCATAACATTGCAGGTGATGATTCCCACTTTTCTGACATAGCTACTAGTATTTCTTGTAACTTTATTTGTTATTTGTGTGTATTATAATATGTACAGTATGTTGGGTTGTTTTGCGATGCAACCAATGAGTGGTGTGTGTTATGCCACCTCAGCTGTTCTCAGATAATTTACATTTTCTGGCTGTAAAGTAGTCTGCATACGGCTCTCTAGTTGGACACACAAACAGAACTTGATTGTGAACGGGGATCGATCAAACCATATATGAGTACTAGAAATTACTATGGATAAGGTTGTTGGGAGTTCAGCTGGTGTTGTTGTCCTGTCTTCGATGCATGCTCTAGACATTGCTGGTTGATACATGATTTCTCCATTTTCTTTCTCTCTGCTTTGTTTCTTTCATTTGGATTCTGGAGATGTGATGTGTTGAATGTTGATTTCCCTTCTTTGTAGGTGGGTAGCCGCACAAAGTGTGTTCTATCATCTGTACAACCAGGTTTCATACATGTCATTGGATGAAATCTCTCCCTTGACGTTTAGCATTGGAAACACCATGAAACGTATATCCGTCATTGTTTCCTCCATCATCATCTTCCACACACCTGTCCGCCCTGTCAATGCTTTGGGAGCTGCCATCGCTATCCTTGGAACCTTCTTGTATTCCCAGGTAAGTCCCCTTTCCTCTCTTTCTCTTTTCTTCTCTTCTCTTCCAATAGCTAGCTGCTCATTTTTGGTTGTTCCATCAAAATGAACATATGGATCCCATAAGGTCAACATGTCTCGATTTGAATTGTCATGGATTAAACCCATGTATGACCCCTCACATTGTTCATTACCTTCCAATGACAACATTTTAAAATGGTTTCTTCAAGTGCATGTATCGTTAAAAGTCCTCTTATCTACAATTCCAAACTGAATCAAACCCCACAAAGCCTAGTCTAAATGTTAGGTGAGATCTAAGATCCTTCGGCAATTAGCATGAGGTAGGATTAGTAGTGGCTTTATCAGCATCATGTGATGAACTATGTCGTTTACTTGCTTAACTAATCTTGTGTGGGAGATGTGATGTTTCTTTCTTGGCCTTGCTATTATCATTACTCATTCAAATATGAATTCCCATCTCACCCAATTGAAGGGTTGGTTGATGACGGAGCTGACTTTTTCGTATGCATCAGGGGTCAGAATCAGTCAATCAGACAATAATAAATGGATGTTACAACCCTCCCTCCCTCGAGAACTTTGTTCTTAAAATATGCTTTCTTTGTGATTATCCAAAGTCAAAAGATTGACTTGGTACAAACAAAAAGCCAAGCATCATGTGGAGAATATGCTCTTATTTTATATTTCTTCTAAGCCAACCATTAGGTTGGAGTATGCTTTTTGTTTGCTGAAACAGCCCTTAAAGCTCTGATGCTCGGCTGATGGGAAGTTTTGTTTGGTGTTTGAATGCAGGCTAAGCAGTGATCCAACATTGGGGAAGAATAAGAAGAAATGTTTTTTTTTTTTTTTTGGTAGGAAGGTAGAAGAAATGTTTGAAAACAATTCATGTTAGTTTTGTTAAGCAAAGGTAGAATGTGGATGGTGAAGTAAAAGGAGAAATTGTTAAAAGAGGATGGTGGGTAAAATGCCAACAATATGAGGACTAGTGTTTGGTTTTTTGCTATAGATTTTCTTTTTCGGCCTTTTTGTAGATAATAAGGTCAAATAGTTAAAGAGAGCGAGAAAGACATGACAGTAGGACTGATGATAATAATGTTGTTTCATTAGTAGCCGCAGTAGCAACAAGCTTTGCTGAAACGAGATTGAAATAGGCTGAGCTGAGTGACATTGTACTTGCCATTTTACGTTGTTTTGGCGGAATAAAACTAAGAGAGGGAAGAAAACCCTCCCCACAGCGTTTCTTGTTCTGTGGACTTACTTTTGAACTCTCTATGGACTATGGTCTTGACTTTACAATTGCGTTGTCCTAACAAACCTAAGCCTTCGCAGATCCAAACCCTCCTCGCCCAGCCAGCCCATAAAAGAGGCAATTTGAGACTCCAGAGTCTTCCAATTTATTGGGATCTACCTCTCCACTTCATTTACTCTAAACCTTATATCTTCTTGTGGTTGACGTGGGATAGTAATTAGGATGATCCTGTTTCTGTCCACTGGTTGGAAATTTGCTCGTACTATATTTGCTTTCCAGTGTAAGAGATGCATGCAATCTTGAGCACATTCCATGATTCTTCAACGAAGCTTCTAAGGCTAATGTTTCAAGAAAGAAAAAGAAAACGATTGCAACAAGCATACTTGTTATTATTAGCTCGACTGAGATCATACATAGATAGACTAATTGACAAAATGACTTTCTGGTACCAGAGTTTGTCAGAAGAGCCTTCAGCTTACACCACCAAGTTGGAACTCACCACCTATTAGTATTTTGTTATTGTTCCCGTTTGTGGAAAGAGAGGGAAAATCTGCAGAGGCAGTTCATCTAAGCTTACTGTTCAGACTTTCAAGTACTTGATGGCAGTCTGAACATCCTTGTCCCCTCTGCCGCTGCAGTTCAGTACGACCTTAGTTTTATCAGGGAGGGTTGGGCAAAGCTTCTCAAGGTAAGCCAAAGCATGAGATGTCTCCAGAGCCGGGATTATGCCTTCTAGTCTTGATACTCTCTTAAATGCTGCACGGGTGAAAAGAAGTAGTCAGATGGATTGCCTTTACATCGTGAAGCTGTGCCAAAAAAGGGAGTTCTTCTGGTGTCTGAAAGGAGCAAACCCACTGAACAAGGGGATAGTCTAGCTATGTATATGGAAGTACAGATTATAGTTGTCTTCCACAGCCAGAACTATGGTTCTAGGCTGATTATACGACATGTTAATGGATTTCAACCAGTTGACCGATTAGGATTGATCAATCACAACCTCAGGCAAACTAACATGTTCTCCTATATCTTTAAGGCGTATGAAAACTGATCAGATTGCGACTTACTCTCAAGCACCAGTGAGGTTAGCCAAAATATTAAATGCACCACATGAGCTCTCCAAGGAACTAGTAGTCAGGAAAGCATATGAAATATATAAAGCAGGCTTGGCAATTGGAAATTTGTTATACAAAGAATATATTCAGATGCACAAGCCAAAACACAGCACTAATAATCACAAAAATGGCCTATTCAAGAGCATAGCAAAAGAAAGCACAGCCTAGGAAGAACTTCCATACCTTCTAGTGCCTCCTCATCAGTGACACAATAGTATTCAGCACGGCCTTTCTCTTTCAGAAAGCTATGCTCGGGTCCAACTCCAGGGTAATCCAACCTATTCCAACAGGGCCACAATGAACTACGAACGACAAAGGTGTAATAGTCAAACCAAAAAGCAACCTATGAATTCACAAATGTTACCCAGCACTAATGGAGTGAGGCTCAATGATTTGCCCATCATCATCTTGTAACAAATAGCTCATAGCTCCATGCAACACACCAACTTCTCCTTTAGTCAGAGTTGCAGCATGCTTACCGCTATCCAGACCTAAACCTGCAGCCTCCACGCCAATCAACCTAACATCTTTGTCCTTGACAAAATCCTCAAACAATCCCATCGCATTCGAACCACCACCAACGCACGCGACAAGGATGTCTGGCTTCCCACCCCATTTTTCCATTGCTTGCCTTCTAGTTTCCTCACCAATTACCTTGTGGAACTCCCTCACCATCATTGGATATGGATGCGGACCAGCAACAGAACCTAGAATATAATGAGTCGACTCCACGTTGGTCACCCAATCCCTTATAGCTTCTGATGTAGCATCTTTAAGAGTGGCCGTCCCAGAATGAACCCCTCTCACCTCAGCTCCCAGAAGCCGCATCCTAAACACATTAAGGGATTGTCTCTCCATATCCTGCGCGCCCATATAGATGATACATTCCAACCCAAACCTTGCACAGACAGTAGCAGTGGCAACCCCGTGCTGACCAGCTCCAGTCTCTGCAATGATCCGCTTCTTGCCCAACCTCTTCGCCAGCAGAACTTGGCCAATGGCATTGTTGATCTTGTGAGCGCCAGTGTGGTTCAGATCCTCCCTCTTCAGGTAAATGTGTGGCCCTTCACCATTCGGACGCCTATAATGATCGGTGAGCCGTTCAGCGAAGTAAAGAGGAGTCTCCCTTCCGACATAGTCTTTCAAAATACCGCCCAGTTCTGCCTGCATTCCAAATGGGTTCACCAGTTCTCAGGAATCAGAACCCAAATCCAATATCCAGCATATTACAGTTTGCTTCACTCATCCACACAACAGATTCAATTACGTAATGAAATACACCGATTTGGCGATTTCCCCCAAAAAGATTCCTACTTTAACAGCGGAAATGCACAGTTTACTTGCCTGAAAATCAGGGTCGTTCTTGACGGAATTGAAGGCGGATTCGAGCTCAGTGAGAGCATACATGAGAGTCTCGGGGACGTACTTGCCGCCGAACTTGCCGAACCGGCCGAACGAGTCGGGTCGACTCCACAGAGCCGGGTCGGAATCATCCTTCTCCGTCGAGGTAACAGCCGCCGCCTCTCTGGTCATGGTGCAGGAGATAGCGCACCCCACAGTGGTGCGGGGTCGAGTTGTGGATTTGGCGCGCCCGAAGCTCAGCTGAGCGGAAGAGTAGGAGGAGGAAGACGAAATGGGAGGCGGCAGCGAGAGGGCAGAGCTACTGCGAGCGGTCGGTGCGGAAGTAGCTGCTGCTCTGATGGCCATTTAGCAGATTTTCTTCAAAGTCGGAGGCTTTGTTGGTTAAGTTTGTAATGGATTTGGCGTCTTGGGTACCGCTATATTTTATATTTAATACGGCAACGCAGGCTCACGTGGTAGACGAATGGCCTGAAAACTTGAGAGCGACATGGCAGTTTCGCAGCCTTCCCATATATAAACAGTAGAAGTTGAAACTGCTAGGGTTGGTTGGGTAGCAGATTGTTCCCAAGCCATTCACCCAGACCAGTTCGTCTTCTGTTGGCATTGTCTCAGTTCGTTTCTAGCTTGTGCTGAAGAAGTTACAAAGGATCGATCAGGGTTGAATGGCGTACCTTAAGAAGTGGTGGCCAAAACAGAATGGCGTTTGTTTTTGCAGCTGCAACATGTATTGACTTGAGAGAAAAAAGGTTTCTTTCTTCATTCATGGGAGTAAATAACTCAATTTAGAATGGACATATCACATACGTTCGAACATTATTTTGGAGAGGTTGAGAACATGCTAATATTGCATATGAATCTTGGTAAATGACAAAACCTGGAAAAAAAATATAACAATCCTCTTTATAACATCCCGTAACTTTTCTGTCTGCTTTTGGCCTCTAAATCCGCATGGATTTCAACTTAGGGTGCAATTCAGGGTGACTTCCCATAAAGTTACCCATCCTTGTTGTACACCGCACTGAGCACGTTTAACTTCGGAGTTCTCACAAGAATTCCTTCGTTTCACCCCAAAACGTGTCTTGTCAGTTAAGGTCGGTTTCCTACTTATGAACCATGGATCTCTCCGGTGCTTTATCGATGTGGGATTTGACTAAGGTGTTACATACACCCATGGGACTCAACGCCCTCGTTGAGGTTTGCCCCACCATCGTTCAAGAGGGACGCAGAGAGGCTCTGATACCACTTGTAACATCCCGAACCTTTTCCCGACAAGATACTGTCCGTTTTGGGCCTCTACACCCACACGAATTTCGACTTGGGGTGCAATTCAGGGTGACTTCCCATAAGGTCACTCATCCTTGTTGTACTCCGCATTGAGCACGTTTAACTTCGGAGTTCTCACAAGAACTCCTTCGTTTCACCCCAAAACGCGTCTTGTCAGTTAAGGTCGGTTTCCTACTTATTAACCATGGATCTCTCCGGTGCTTTGTCGATGTGGGATTTGCCTAAGGTGTTACATACACCCCCTGGGACTCAACGCCCTCGTTGAGGTTTGCCACGCCATCGTTCAAGAGGGACGCGGAGAGGCTCTGATACCACTTGTAACATCCCAAATCTTTTCCCGACAAGATACTGTCCGCTTTGGGCCTCTACACCCACACGAATTTCGACTTGGGGTGAAATTCAGGGTGACTTCCCATAAGGTCAGTCATCCTTGTTGTACTCCGCACTGAGCACGTTTAACTTCGGGGTGACTTCCCATAAGGTCAGTCATCCTTGTGTTACATCTTCATAGACAGTCTAGTGAGGCTGCAACTTAGCAAGTAATTTATTGTTTTTAACTAATTTTCATAATCTTTATTGTTCTTAACTAAATTTCGTCATTTTAATAATTTATTGTTGTAAAGTGATATCATAATATGCGTATTGTTTGGTGCCTTCCACGGTACCCCCGGTGAAATTTAGGGTATCGCATAACTTGAGTATGGAAACGCTATCTAGACCTCGAATTAACAAGATTTTGGGGCATGATACTATACCCTAACCCTTAATGAGTGAATCCTAGGTCCTAATTATCTAAATCATAAAAAATAAACCCTAAGACGGTGCATTGACTTTTTTGCCTATATTTGGACGAATCATAACCGTTGATTATTGTTTCTGATTAAATTGATCTTGGGGTATAAGATTTAGAGAATTAAGACCTAGATTTTGATCTTTAAGGGTTAGAGTATATTATCATGTCCGAAAGATCAATCAATGCAAGTTCTTAATAGCGTTTTCTTACTCAAGGTATGTGGTACCCCGGATTTCACCCTAGGTACAGTAGAACTCTCCGTATTGTTAACCTATTGGTTGAAATTATAAAAAAATATTATTTATGAATAACTGTGGATATCTGAAACCCCATTGGGTAAAGATATGGTTTTTGATATTATACCCAATTCTTATGTGTATTGATAAAATTCGAACTATTTTTGAATATAGTAACAAATATGTACTATATTATCCCTACAAAACATAGGTGTGGTTAGGCCTGTTAGTCGGTGCGGTTTCGGTTTAACCGAACCGCACCATCGGTTAGCCGAGACCGGGAATCACCTAGCACGACCAACCGAAGCCGACACCGAAGGGGTCTTCGGTTAACCGCCAACCGCAACCGGTGGTTTCGGTTTTTGGCTGCGGTTTGCTGAAACCGACACACACCACCTCCGACCACCGCCATCGCTTTGCATGTCACCGGAAAATTCCAATTTTGAACCAGCGGCAGAGGGAGAAGAGAGAGCACTCCCATCGAATCTCAGTTCAGGCGACAAACCTGGCGGCAGAGGAGGAAGAAAGAGCCGCCCGGAGTCGGAGGAGTCAGGCAGATCGATGGATTGGTTTTCAGACCAATCTTGCTGGCTCCGATTACTTCAATTTTCCAGCCCAACACCTCCGTAGGAACCTGTACAGCAGATTACTCTCGCTTCAAGGACGGTGGAGATTGATCTTATTTCGCCGAATCCCTTGATACTCTCCCTCTGCGGCAGCCTCTATCAACAAGGAAGGGGAGGAAAATGTCGACGGCAGAAGAAAATTAGGAAGAAAGGGCATGCAATAGCTGATCTTATTCCGCCGAATTCGCCATGGACGGTGGAGATTGATCTTATTCCGCCGAATCCCTTGATGCTCTCCCTCTGCGGCAACCTCTATCAACAAGGAAGGGGAGGAAAATGTCGACGGAAGAAGAAAATTAGGAAGAAAGGGCATGCAATAGCTGATCTTGAACCTAGCAACAGAGAGCAGGGGAGTCTGGAACTGGGAACCACTGGGCGGCGGTCAGAGGAGGGAGGACTAGATCATCAATTTTTGGTTGGAGCAGAGAGAGGGAGGAGAGTGGCGATGCGGAAGGGGAATAGCAGCGAGAGGGAGAGGGAGCAGAGCGGCGATGCAGAAAGGGAACTGTGGTGAGAGGGAGAGGTTTGGAGCAAGGAGAGGGGCGATGCAAAAGGGGAAGAGCGGCGAGAGGAAGAGGTTTGGAGCAGGGAAGGGGAGCTCGTCGGTTTTATGCGGTCCACCGAGTTTATCTCGGTTAGCAACCGTTGGTTGCCGGTTACCATAAATCCCAAATTCAGCAAACCGCCACTGCCACCGAAACATAATTATCGGTTTTCGATTGACCGTGTAACCACATATTTCGGTTCGGTTTACGGTTTGACCGAATAACCGCCAACCGATTATCACCCCTAGGTGTGATTTAGAGCATGCGAACACAAACCTCTGTCCCGGGTAACAGCCCAACCTGCCGGCCCAGCTGGTTTTGGCGGTCTTTTGCACACTAGCATAATGACCGGCCCGTTGGCCGGAGGAGATTAATATAAGGTTGTTGTTGTTGGTATAAGTATGGCACGGAATGTGATCAAGCAATCTTATGTATATTTTCACCCGGCCCGTTGGCAGGTAAATTTTTTATTTGGTTTATATACTATCATATTATGTATCCGTTATACCGCCCAAAATTCTCAATCTCTCAAATCCAAAATTCTCAACCTCTCAAAACCATACGATGGCAAGTTGAGTATTTTAGTTTGGGTGCAAAACAGGATGGATATGTTCATGAGTATACATTTCAAAGAAAAATATTTAACATAAGAAATTCATTAATAATTTGGGAGAAAAATGTTATATAAAATAGAGGCTATGCTATAATAAATATAATTAATTATTTGGGATACCCGTGAACCGAATTTAATGGTTCATGGTTCTTCTTCGAGTACCCGAGTACTAATCTCTCCCACTGCCGACACAATTTCCCTCGCCCCTCACTCTTGATTCCTTTACTCCATCGGTGTAGCCATCCACCTAGCTCCTCCTCCCTCCCTCACCAATCCCGCCTTCTAACCGATTCATCACCATCGCCGACTTCCGTTATGTAGCGGCAGCGATTAGAGCCGGAGAGGAGCAGCGGACTCTTCCGCCCCACCTTAGGAACCTCTCCTCGGTTCCACCTCGATTCCGTTAGGTTTTGGTTTCGGTTCTGGGTTTCACCGAAACCCGAAACACAGCCATATTAGGAACCAGACCCGATTTTTCTTTTGATGCATCGGTTTTCAGTTTCCCGATACCCGACACTTTTGGTTTTGGATCCGGGTTACCCGGAACACCGAACCTGAACGTCCACCCCTAGCTAGAAGCCAATATTTCTGCTTCAATCCAATTAACTGCTCCAATGAATATGAAGGAGTTTGTGTCGATTGTGATGTGTGACAGTGTGATTGAGTCCTGAAATCAATTTTGAAATGGAAGCAAAAGAGTTAGATCAAAGCCACCCAAGAGATGAGAAAATAGTATATGAGGAATCGGCCACTACCTCTGACCACCTGAACCTTTGAGGTTGAAATTTGATGTATTGCACTGTACACAGGAAACATTAAAGCAAACTTTTTTAGCAAGCATATATAAAATATGAAACGGAAAGAAGTTAAGGGAAGAAAATGTACCAGAATATGACAATCGTTGACAGTTTCATGAACATAAGGATCCCAATTCAGCAGAATAGAAAAATCATGTTGCTTTGGTGCTGTTGTGAAGCTGAATTCCACAGGAAATGAAGCAAGACAGTTCAAACCGCGAGGCAAGCTTCTTCTTCTTCATTCGCACCCTTCCTCACATTCTTGTTTCAAAATCTCCTTAAACCAGTAGTTTGCAGGTAACTCACACAAACCAAGAACATAAAACATACCGAAGATGATTGCTTCTAAACGTAGAAGAAGCAGTTGGTCTTACCAGAAGTGGTTGGAACGTATCTGCTTGTTGTTGCCTCCCCAACCGGAAGAATGTTTGATAAACCTAGAAACCCTCTCAAGGGGTTGTTACTCATGAAAATTACAAAGCGATATTGAAGGGCTCAGGTAAGGAACCTAGATCGAAATATTGAAAGAAGAAGAAGTAGAAGAATAAACGAACATACCTGAAATCCTGAATGCAGCAGCAATCCAAATAGGCTGAATGTCAAACACACTTCAGAGGGCGGATTCTCAAAAACCATAAGTAGATTTTGAAGGAGAAGCCAGAGAATTTGAAATCCGTGAGGCCTGAAAATGACGGAAGGAGCCCTTGAAGTAGCGTATGTCAAGGCAACTCCCTGCTGCAACCCGCCACAGACCAAGAAATCGTAAAAATTAATAGTATTGCAGAAATCACGCCAAGTTCAAACTTATTTGATCAAGCAGAACAGAGACACGAACACGTAACCGACAAATATATCTACAACACAAAACTGAAACAACCTCGCGCCTTGGCATAGATTGAATCACTTACTGATTTTCAGAAATCACCATCAGGAAACCAACATACATATATCTGAAACTGATAACAGGACAATTGGCAGCATAATGCAACAACATGACAGCTCAAAAATGCAAGTGAATCAATGAACGGCATAAACAACTACAAAAAAAGGCAAATGGAATGGCTGGACATGAATATGTCTCCCACATCAGCTATGAAATCCAGAAACACAAAACAACTTGGCGGTAGGAATTACAAAACTATGGATAATGAAAAAAATACGAAGAAACCTATGACTGGGGCACTACCGAAATGATACCATAGAGCATGACAACCTTCTGATTAACTTCTATCAATTTTAGAGGCACTGTCTAATATTCAAACAATTGCTCAAGCAAGCACTGCCGAAACAATAATTTACACTATTTACAAAATCATTAAAGCACTCAACACAATCTCGGTTCAAACGCTCCTACTAAACAATGGCTAACAAAACAAAACCAAAACCAAATTAATTGTTAGAAGACATCTACATCTAACAGGCTCAAGTTATATTAAACTCAAAAGACCTAACAACGGGCAGGCAAAGACAGTTAATTAGGAAACAACGGAAAGTAAATATTACTTGTAAGGAGGTTCACTGAAAGCAAAAATGAACTCACCAATTGAAAGGACAGAACTTCAATTACGGTCATGTCAAAATGAACCAAAGAAATATTGTAATGTAAGTTAAGGGCGGCAATTCCAGTACCTGATCGCGTACTAAAACCACAATTGGGGTTGGGGAATCACGTGCCCAACTCTTGAGAAAGAAATCAATGGATGAGGTCAAGGTTTCCAGTTACAGATTGAGAACTAAAGCGACAGTAGGCATAAGAGATTCATGTTCCCTATTGACAATTGAAATCAATGGCTGGGTCAAAAACTCCAATTTTTGTTTGACAAACAAATCGAAGACTTGGGGATGGTAAACTGATCCAGAGGGCTCACCTTTTAATCGACCCGTAGACAACAGAGATTCAAAATCTTTGACCCCGATGACGACGTAAGCCAATCCAAAGCTCCCGTTCGGCTCGCACAAAACCATGGAGTTTCACTGACAGAAGAACAACCAGTATAGAGATATCAGAGAGGAGAAACACCAAATAGAGGAAAGTGAGATAACAATGAATTGGCACTAAAAAGTACCGAAAAAAGATATTTTATATATGTACCATAGATTGTTCAAATCGCCACCGTAGCAATAGATCAGGAGCTGAAGGAAGGTCAATCAATATACAACCAAATGCAGCAGGTAATTGCAGAACAGAACAACTTATGGAAGTGCACATAGAAATTAACAGAAGGCGCAACTACAAACTTGGGTATCATCCAACATTGAAATCCTTCAAAGTAACCACATTCTACTCACTGCGCCTAGAATTCAAACTCCCACCTCATTTCCCAGCTATTGTTTAATTACATGGCAGCAATATATATCAAAATCAGATGAATGACCTTAACATGGCTTGATAAAGGGGTGGCAAAGAACAGTACTTCACCATCTTTCAAGCTCTTACCTCGTCCCTCGAGTCTTCTGCATCAACAGACTGCTTTCTCTATGAGTTGGTCTTCACCCGCTGCAGATTCTGCAGCAGCAGGAGCTGCCTCATTAGCATTAACATCATTTCCCTCTGCAGATCCTGTCTCCTCTTCCTTGTTCTTAGGTGGAAAGAGATTAGCAATGGTAATTTTCGCCCTTCTCTCGCTTTCGCTTCAGGCTTTAGCCTAGCTTTTTCTTCCATAAGATTGTCTAGTTCGTCTCCTCTCCCTTCCTTGTTCAACTCGCCTTTCACTATCTCCTGAAGCTCCTCATTCACGTTGATAGCCTCATTATCCACCATTGCATCGACCAATTGAAGCACTTTGTCCAACCTCCCATGATCACTTAGTGCTTTCATTATGAACTTATAGCTCTCATTATTCATCCTCTGTTTCTTCACCATCAGCTCGTACAACTATTTTGCCTCGTCAATCTTCCCAGCCTTAACCAACTGATCAACCAGTCTATCATAAACAGGCAAGTCCGTTCTCAGCCCTGAATCGACCATCTTCCTAAAATATGCAGCACCATCATCAATTCTACCCTCTTGAAAGCAAGCATACATCAATAAAATTATCCCTTGTGACCGATTCTAACCTGAAATTATCTAGCATCATCATCATCATTATCATCAACATCAAGTAAAATGGAAAAGGACGAAAAGGATCTGAAAGGGCATCAGACCTAGCAATCTTGGGTTGACCCAGCAAACTCTTCTGGAAGGGATTCAGAGAGGATCGGGAAGAGTCGGGAAGTCACTGGCGAAGACGAATCAACCACTGAATTCTAATTCCGCGATGATATGGAATTTGCCGGTCACTGGTATGAGGTGAGGACGAAGGAACAATTAGCGGTTGCAGGGGCGATTAAGCATGGCTGAGTTGCAGATTGGGAAGAAGCGGCACCGTCGGAATGCGTCGCTGGTATGGGTGAGGAAGAATGGAAAATGAGCGGTTGAGAGTCGCTGGAATGAGGTGTAGACGATGGGATATTGAGCAGTTGCAGGGACGTGTATACTGATTTTTCGAATAATAAAATATAAGGGATCCACTAAGACAATTTACTTTCCACAATTGCCCCAAAGATTTTAAAATGGAGAAAATTAGCCGGAGAACGGCTATATATTATAGGAGGACAAGAGCGTGGTGGACCGGAGACAATAGCGCTGAAGTTCTTCGGGAAAAGGTCGAGTCGATTCCTTTGGAAAGCCTGTGAGCAGTAAGTCAATTCTCTTATGGGCTGATGAAAAATTTAGAATATCGCCATATTAGGGTTTGCTTGGTTTGACATTGTAATGGATTCGGCATTCTTCCATCTCCACTTCGTGTTCTTTGAGCAGTACCCTTACTATGCTAACTGATTCTTCTTCTTCTGTTCAATTCTAGTGACTTAGCTGGAAATGGGTCGTCATTTGTCCGATCATTCGGTATCCCCAGACAGAGTCAGAGGTCGGAGGAGCTCCCCACCTGTTGAAAGGGCAGCAGCACGATACAGAAGTTCCCGTAGAGATATTTCGCCTTCACCAGTAGCCCGGCAAAAGAACTCACGGCGGGATGCCTCTCCATCGCCAAAAGACAGAAGACGTGCTAATAGTAAGTCCCCTAATGGTGAAAGGTCTGCTTCTCTTTCCCCACGTTCTAAGAGACTAAGGCGAGTGCAAGCGGAGAGAGAGGCGGATAAACTGGGTGATAGTAGAGACCATGGAAAGAATCGTGGCAGGGAAAGGGATAGGGTTACCCATAAGGACAGGGAGGGTCCTGAAAGAGAGCGTGAAAGAACTCATGGTAAAGGAGGAGCGCATAGGGAAAGGGAGGCTCACAAGGTGATTGACAGGGAAAATGACAAGGGCCATGGGAGTGGAGGTGATAAGGCTGCCTATAAAGCAAGAGGTACAGAAGATAGGGAAAATAGTGGGGAGAGGAAGCATAGTAGAGATGAAATGGACAGAAAATTATCTAGAGATAGACATGAGCGTTCTCTTTCTCCAACTGATCGGCACCACAAGAGAAGCTTTGGGTCTCAGTCACCTCGAAGAGCTGCTCAGAACACAGAACGCGACGAGGTGTCTGGTGATATCTATTCCTAGTGACTATTTCTATCTAATTACTTTTTGTTCCCCTGCCTAAACTGTGGCCTTCTATTGTGTTTGGCATTTAATGCAAGTGAATATCTTTTCTCTCTTCATTTTTCTGAATGTTCGTCAAAGCAAATAACTGAAAAGACTTAATCTTGCCCAGATGAATCTCTGTGAATTTCTGCTGCCTTCTTTAGTCAGCGAGGCTCTTGCTCTTATTAGTCCTATACTCCAGTTGCTGCATTTTGGTTTAAATGTGAACTCATATGGAATTGTTTATTTTAGGTCACCAACTATGGAGGAGCGGATAGAAGGTAAGATCCTTGCCGGAGTCTATTTTTCCATCTATTCCTTAGTTGAGGCAAATGTTTGATTACTTGCTCTTTGTATTTGTTCTTCTGTGTAACACTTGCGGTTTATGATGATTACATCTTCAATTCCATCAAAGTGAGGAGTAATGTGAATGATAGGTGTCCTTTACTCCAAGGAAATAGAATTCTCAGATAACCTAGCTGCGAAAGCCATTAGATTCTACCACTGACCAGGGTTACGCTTGTTGCTTATTTCGCAATAGTTTATCTTTAGAAGCGCAGAACATATGAAGAAACCTTATGTCACCCAACTATACTAGTGAATTTGATCCTTCCCGTTTTTCCATTAGAGGGCATAGTGACAGTGTAGCATGATTATGGGCTTTGGTTGGCCTTCGTACATCACAATATTATGATCTGCTCATCATGGTGTTAATTATATTTGTTGATTCCACAGAAATTACGAGGATGATTCTGTAGCTAAGATGAAAGCGGCTGAAGAGGCCTTGGAAGCGAGCCAAAAAGTAAGACAGTAACTAAATTTGTGGAATATAGTCTTGTTTCTGATCATTAGGGAGATGCAAGAGTGCCTTGGTCCTACTTCCCTATATCTAATGTTGTTGATGCATGACATTGGCTTGCAGCAAAAACCATCATTTGAGCTGTCTGGGAAACTTGCTGCGGAAACTAATAGGGTTCGAGGTTGGTGTTTTTGCATTTTTTCCTACAGTTCCCTGTTTTATTAGCTCTGTCACATATCTGACAGATTCGATTACTTATGGCTGCTAGGAGTAGTATAGTTTTTTATGCTTGTTTCATTGTCTTTCATGTTTTGGTATATGTTGAGAACTGGAATGTTAGCATGCAACTGATTTAAATTGTTATGTGATGTCAACACATTCCAGCTGCAGTAGGTGTTGGAACCCTTTCTCAATGGCTGTATTAATTGTAGCTTGACAATGTTCAGACTTCAGACATTCATTAAATGACTTTTTTTTATTATTTGCCATAAACTCTGATTGTCTGCTTCCTATGCTGGCATATTACTATAATTTTCGATCCTCTGTTGCTTCCTATGGATTACAAGTGATGCTAGCAACGACTTCTGATGATGTAAACTGATTAAGCTTGCTTTGCTGAGTCGTCAAACAATCACAATTACTGGCTGTGTGCTTTCTTTCTGATGCATCTCATTTGCTGGTCTGCTATTTTTTTGGGGCAGGTGTTACTCTACTGTTTAATGAGCCTCCAGAGGCCCGGAAACCCAACATAAGATGGAGGCTTTATGTTTTTAAGGGTGGTGAAGTGCTGAATGGTGAGTCTTGGTTTCTCGACTCTTGTTTTGCGCATGTGTGATGCAGCTTGTGCAATGATTGTAATTGCTGCTTTTGTTAGTTGCACTTGCACACCACGCGTCAGTTCGCTGTTGCAACAAATCATGTTTGTTAGATACTTGGCTCAGGCCAGCAAAGAACTTAATCCTAGTTTCTTCTATTGAGTACTAAGTTTACGTATTGGAATACCGTTTGGCTATCAAATTCTGTTGACACTTGCATCCATTTTGTTTGGATAATGGTGCTGACTTTGTTTCCTGTTTCTATTGTGTCTCAATGAACAGAACCTCTCTATATACACAGGCAAAGTTGTTATCTTTTTGGTAGAGAGAGAAGGGTGGCAGATGTCCCTACGGACCACCCATCCTGCAGCAAGCAACATGCTGTCATTCAATTCCGGTAGATCTATAAGTGGTTGCTCAAAAAATTTAATTGATGTTGTTGGGCGTGTTTCTGATTTTGTTTCGTTGACTTGTTAGGCAAGTTGAAAAGGAACGATCTGATGGTACCATATCTAAGCAAGTAAGGTAAGAATCAACAGTTTTTTATTATTTATAATTTCTGTATAAGGTGCAGTTTAGTGTCTTCTGCTTATGCTGACTTCTTTGTTCTCTGTATGGATGATAGCCCTTACTTGATGGACCTTGGAAGCACTAACAAGACTTTCATTAATGTGAGGCACATACTCTTTTACCAATATTCAGCACGACTTCTATGGTTAGTTATTCATGTAATCACGTCTGAACAGCTTTTCTGGTGTTTGCAGGAGAAACCCATTGAGCCCGAGCGTTACTATGAGCTTTTCGAAAAAGACACAATTAAGTTTGGTAATAGTAGGTAGGCAATCTAATCATTTCTCGACATGTACTTCCTGAGCTGGAGTTTAAAACTTTGTCATTATTAATTAGTGACTAACCATCCAAGATAAATCAGCTTCCATTGTGCTTGGATGATTTTGGCTTAGTTAGCCGTTCTGTTGTGCTTGGATGATTTTATCTGAATGCTGTACTAACCTTTTCGATTATCTGAAGCATTTTTAGCTGAGTTCTCCTTGTCTATGTTTTGTGAGCGGTACTGATGTCTGTTACTTGCCATCAGCATTACATTGCCTGCTGCACCTCTGTTGATTCATTGCTTTGTTGGTCTTGTCCAAGTGTCTTTGGGGGCTATCATGACTTGGTGCTGCGTATCCATCCTGAGCGTGTTGACTGCATTTTTAAAATTGTTTGAGTGGCCTTAGTCGTGTGACAATTTGCTTCTACGTTTAGAGCATTGGCGCCTGAAAATTGGAAAGCTGTAGCTGATTTTTTTCATGCAATATTTCTGTTTGATCCTGCCCCTAATGATTTGCTGTGCCTGGTTTTCTGCAGCCGAGAATATGTGTTATTGCACGAGAATTCATTAGAGGTATCACCAAGTCCCTGAGGATGTTTCTTTGATATCAGCAAGCGATGGAGTATATTTTGCGTCTGTTCTTTTGGGAAATTGAGGAGAACATAGTCTTAAAAATCTGTATATCCTTTGGGGATGGAGAGAGCAGATGTAGGATAGGATCATCCGCTTCAAATGTACTACTCAGCTGTCCTCCCTTTCCCTTCCCCACACGAAACTTATCAGATGTTCACAATCTTGCAAGAATCTGCAAGCTTTGCTACCGATTTCAGTGGTATACTTTGAAGTAGGTATTTAGAAGTGCAATACCGGATAGCTTCTTTTGCTGGGAAGCATCGTGTTTGGTATATGCAGATTAAGTCTTCTAGAGTAGTGCCGCGAGTGATTTGTGGAACAAGGATTCGAACTCGTGTGGGACAAGTGGAATTTGTTTAGTGCAGAATTAGGTTGATAAAGAATGGTGTGTATTTTGGTCTCGAACTTGAAGGACATTCTTCAAACCTGTAATTTAAAAATATGTTGCTAGTGCTTTAGTGTGATGTGGGCTAGTTTTGAAGTCGGAATTCCTACCAATCTGAGAGAGGTATTAGTAGGGGTATGTAAAAACTTGGTCTGCATCGGACCAAAACAATGTTTGAGCTAGACCAACTTGTAACCAAATATAAAGTGTATGGTGCTTAGTTTCATTAATTTTTTTTAGGATTAAGGAAAAAATAAAATTTATTTTAAATCGAATGAAACTGTATAAAATGCACTTTTAATATGGTTTTGTCCTCAAATTTTCTCTACATTCAAAGCAATCTATCTTGGTGCAGTCCAATCTAATGGAACAAAGGAAAATATGTCATGGAACTAGGATTCCATATTCAATAAGGACTAGTAAGGAATCCTTATGCGATAAGTACTATTAAGTTTACCATGTAATCATTGTCAATCCTAACTACCAGTTGTTCGAATGAAAGTTTTGCTAACGAATAAGGATTTCCTTGATTAACCCAGGTAACTTCTTGTTTAATTTGTAAGGAAAATAGATCCTTGGTGCACATAACTACTTTTATGTAAGAAAAACTATATTAATATAGTAAACTATTCATTCTGGGATGATTAATAACTATTCAATTATTGGATGATTATTATTATGGAATAAATAAAAGGCAAAGAGATTAATAATTATGGGCATGCCTAACAATATATTCATAAGTTGATCAATATATTCCTTCCTATTGTTAAGTGGGTTGGCAAAATTCCTTCCTAGGATAAGATAAAATTCAACCCAGAAGATCCATTTTTACCTGAGAACTACTTAAACTAGTTAATCTTGATCCTAGGAGGCTATGAGATTGACGACCAAGATCACGTGAATACCTTCTTTACAACCAACTTTCAACATGTTCGTGCCTAAATTTTCTATGAATAACTCGAGTTTTCTAGACATAGAATTATCTCGGCTCTCTCTTATTATAAGTGATTCATGCGTTCTCGCATGGAACATTGGAAATCTAAAACAAAAATTTTCATACTAAATCATCTTTTCATAACATTTGTTACATTGTTTATCTTAAGAATATGAGGCAATACTAATTTTTTTATAGGAACATTTCTCTACTAAGTTTAATATATTATTTGTAAGTTAGCAACTAAAGGTCTCACTAAGAAAACATATTTTTATTGAAAACTCCACCAAACATATATAAAAGTGTTAAACCAAACGCACTATATGGCATGGGAAAAAGAAATAAAAAATGGTTACGAGTGAGTCAGTCGTGGGACGGCTTTGGCAGTAGTCCGGAAAAGCGAAAGAAGCTGTACCGGTCAACTGCCCGCCCGCCCGCGAGTCCCCAAACGCCAACTCCGCCCACCAGACCTCCTTTGTTTTCTTCTCGTCTTCTTCCCCCCAGCCCTCTCTCAACGTCTTTTGTTTGTTATAGACTTCTAGTTTACAATTTACATTTACAATACCCACACACACGCACCCAAAAGATCTCTGGAAAATCCATTCGTGAAAGAAAAGAAGATTGCAGAAACAAGAAAGAACAACCACAACTGCAACAACAAAGAGTTATCAGCTATGAAAAGCTCGCTGCTGCAGTGTAGCGACTGTTGCTTCCATGGCCGCCAGCAAGAAATTTCCTAGGCAGATGGGTGAAATCATCCGGAAAATCGCCCGGGTTGACATCAAGTGGAGCGTCCTGGAACGGGTCTCTGTTTTCCGCCAGTTTTTCGAGTTCTTGTGGGATAGGATTCTCGCCTGTTCTATTGGTAAGCCGCCCTCCAAATACCGCCGCATAACTCGTGCTGGGAAGAATACTTCGCCTTCTACTTCTTCTTCTTCTTCTTCTTCCACTTCGTCTTCGCCGCCCCAAGCCGGCGGCCCCGACTACGACTACGACGCTGTGCCTTTCGTCGAGGCGTGCACGACGAGTGGAACCGGCGAGCTCAACTCTTCCAACTCGGATTTGGTACCGCTGAAGATCAGCTTGCTGGGTGATTGTCAAATCGGAAAAACTAGCTTCGTGGTAAGCATTTCTCGGTTTAATCAATGGGGGGTTTCTGGGTTGTTCTTGATTGATTCTGAATTGGTCCTGAATGAGCTGGAGATATATTTTTTTGGTCAATAGTCAGAGTTAGAGCTGTTTTTGTTGATGGGTACGTGAGCTGATTTTCTTATTACCTTGCTTTTGTTTTCTTAATTTCCTTGTGCGGGCTCTGTTGCTGATGGCTGAAGATCAAGTATGTTGGGGACGAACAGGTGAAGAAGAGCCTGGAAATGGCAGGGTTGAATTTGATGGACAAGACATTGTTTGTTCAAGATGCCAGGATTTCATTCAGCATATGGGATGTTGGAGGTACCCCGGAAAATTTCCTAAAAATCTTTACTTTCCTTATCTGGATTTCATAATGGTATCAAGTTTCAGAAGGAGCTAAAACCTTCTCTGTTTCTGCAGGTGATAGCCGGTCGTTTGATCAAGTCCCCATTGCCTGTAAAGATGCAGTTGCAATTCTTTTCATGTTTGATCTCACCAGCAGATGCACACTCGACAGGTTGGCTTATCATCATCAAACCTTTCTTTATTCCTCTAAACAGTTGCGTTCCAGGGTATAATATGTTTTTGTAATGAAATATACTGTTCCTTTTAACAGCGTTGCTGGATGGTATTCTGAAGCCAGGAAATGGAACCAGGTAACAAAGTCAAACAGTTACAACCTCCATTATCTTGTTATAAATGTAATCATTATTGTTCGTTTGGTGTCCTTAAATTCCTCTACCAAATTCTGTTGATCCATCCCCCTGTGAGATAGAGATGAATAGTGCTGTTAGCTATAAGCTATTACATAATCATTAATCTGTACAGATGTACAGTGCACCAACCTCTTGAAATTTCTGAATACTCAACCTCCGTTTGGTAAGGCATTTAACTATAACTTATGGTTATGGATAATACTTCTCAACTATAATTGGGAATCTTGGGGAAGTGACAATTTTCTGCTGGTGGGGGTGGCACGAACCTAGTAATTAGCCCTTAACGATTATGTAGCAACAACCGATGATTGAACATAAAAGCAAAATTTTGGCAGCAATGGTAGAGATGCTGAAAGCAATCGGAGAGGGTGATGATAGTGATGGCAATGATCATCATGTGGCACTGAAAACCTGAATCCAGTGGCTGGAATGATTGTTATAGTGTGTTACGGCTTGTTTAATCAAGTGGGTGGTCGGTCTGGTTTCTTTCTGTTGCCTCCTTTTTTGTTGGAAATTAGTAGGGTCATCCACCCATGGTGGATGCACTCTATCACAATCATGACATTCTAACTTGTTGCATGTGTATTAAGGAAGGAAGGGTTGTGAGTTAATCTATCTTATTCTTTTCTCTTGCAGACGGCTATTCCCATCCTGATCGGGACCAAGTTTGATGATTTCGTCCGCCTACCTCCAAATCTACAGTGGACTATTGCAACACAGGTAAACATACAAATGACATATAGCAAACAGTGCTAAGAACAGTAGAACTTCTCTCGGTGAACAGGTTTAGGGCAACATTGCCTGCAATTGTGACTTACCCTGTAGCATTTTGAGATTCCTTTTCCCTCTTTGCGCGTTTGATAGACAAAGCAGGCAGAATGGTGGGGTCACGCCCGCACACAAAAGCTTCATTAAAGTGAAAGAATTTATTAAGTTCTGAGACAAGGAAGGAAGGAATCTTCTTTAGGGATCCCCGACCCCCGTCCGTATGGATGGTAGATCTAATTTAAGGCTTTGCCCATTCCCCTTTCAGCGTAATCTAATTAAGCTTTCAATTCAGGAATATGCTTTAGCAGGGTTTTCATTTTCAAACATTTATGCTGCATGCATTTTACTCATTCAAAAAGAAGGGGTTTCATTTTCATATACTGAGAAGTAACACCTTTTCTCCTTTAAATGATGTGTTGTCCGAAGATTCAAGTCAAGGGTATAGCAAATTAGGAGATCCTTATTGCAGCCAACCCTTATTTGTGTACCTAAACTGTTACCTTTTTGGTTATCTGCAAACTTGCTGATCAAATTGTGTTGGTGGTGGCATGATGATGAACACAAACAAACGCAGGCAAGGGCGTATGCACGAGCGATGAAGGCGGCGCTCTTCTTTTCGAGTGCGAAACACAACATAAACGTGAACAAGATCTTCAAGTTCATCGCGGCGAAGGTCTTTAACTTGCCATGGACGCTTGACAGGAACCTCACCATTGGGGAGCCCATTATTGACTTCTGATCTCTTTTCCTATATAGTTAGTTGCATTTTACTATTTTTAACTCTTCTTTCACGCATTGATGTATTTTGTATTCTCCTGTAAATAGTAGAGAAAGATAAGAAGGGAAAGTAGAAAGGAAAACGGAAGAGTGAGTGAGAGGTCAGATTGATTTGATTGGTTCCACACACAATAGAGTAGAGACTAGAGGAGGAGTCCTTTTTTCCAAGACTGTTTGTTGCTTTCATTTCTTCTTTGCTCTCTTTTGTTCTACTTCCACCCTTCTGCTAACTTCCTGTTGTTATAATTCACCTGCTCCATTTAAATCAAAAGAAGGGGCATAAAGCCCAGAAGATCGTCACTTTGTTAGCAAAACACCTAGGGGGTCGTTTGGAATAAGAATTTAGTTAAGTAGAGATTTGGCCACAATCACTCTATTAAAATACCTAGTATTTTAAACGGGTTAATATTTTCGTATGGCCTGAACTTTGTCCAAAATAAATATCCTGGCCAATCTTTTCGATCTATAACATCCTGGCCCGAACTATACACCAAAATAAACAATTTGGCCAGATCTGACTTTTGACCGTTAACTTGGACGGTCAAACGCGTGGACCGTTAGTCAACGCGCCATGTCACTGCCAAGTCAGCATAAAATATTTAAAATAATTCACAATTTCCACACATTCCCTAATTTTAAATTATTATAAATTAAAAAAATCATCTAATACCTTAGTTAAACCAAAAATAAAAAATGAAAAAATTAAATATTATCAGATCTTCTGACTTGGCAGTGACGTGGCGCGTTGACCGTTAGTCAACGCATTTGACCGTCCAAGTTAACGGTCAAACATCGGGTTTGGCCAAATTGTTTATTTTGGTGTATAGTTCGGGCCAGGATGTTATAGATCGAAAAGATTGGCCAGGATGTTTATTTTGGTCAAAGTTCAGGCCATACGAAAATATTAACCCTATTTTAAACCCAGTTTTTGTGTTAAATATTTTGTTTGTTTATGAATGGGGATTTGTTAGTTAGGGAATTTAATTCTAATAGCAATTGTGAAATTACAGTTATACCCTTCACGGATCAATCGTCGTCCGTATACCGCTTTGGCTCGTCGCCGGCCCCTTATCCCCTTGTCTGTCACTGACAAAAATCACTCACCCTGCCCTCAAAAAAACATCGCCTAGCAGAATGATCCCTTTCCCTCTCTTGGATGAAACAAATACATTCAGACACCAACTCTCTGCTAACCCCGAAAGCTTGATTTGGTGCAGATGGCGACGACTTGATGGTAGTTGATCCAGCCTCTTGCGAACCCAGATCCGCCGAAAGAAAGGAAGAATCAGAGCGCAGTGGTAGAACAACGCATCGATTTGCTAGCGATTATTCCATAAAAGAACCCAGAACGGGAGAATTATATACGTCTTCTCCTGGGTCCTCCGGCGACCTCGCGAGCCTTCTGATTCCTCGCCAGTCTCCATCGTCCTCGCACTCTACGACGGAGTCTCAGTCTTTCGGAACAGGGAAAAGAATCCCTAGCTCTCTTCCCCTTCGCCAGGAGATACAAGCTAGGAAGTTGGCGGTCGATTAGATCTGAATCCTTTGGTGACCGGCGCAGGAGAAGAAGAGCAGAGTGCGGCGGAGGAAGATGAGAAAGGAGATGAGTCGAGGGCGGCGGTGGAGGAGAATGTGGTGGTGGTTGGAGAGTTTGCGTCGTCGGTCATCTTCTCTGAGCTCCTTCTCTCCCGCGTCCAATTCCGACGAGATTGGCTCCGGTACGCTGCGAAGGGACACGCTGGGAACAAACCATAAATTAATGCCGGATTTTCAAAATACTTGGAGGCTCCTAGGTATTCTCAATTCCGGACTGGGCCGAATTTAAAATTTCTAGTGGCCCAAATCTCTGATGTTTATAGAGCTATCCAAACAAGAGAATTGATTAAATTCCTGGATGGGCCGGAATTGAGGCCAAATCCCTGCCCACTTTTCTGGATCCAAACGACCCCTAGGAAACAAGGTTGTCTGTCCATGTTCCAGTAGTGCTCTATGGAGCAGATTAGTGGGCTCCTAAATGGGCCACCGAGATAGTTAATCTAAGCCCAAAGTCCTAGTCCTTTACCCGCATTAGAGACCCCCGGCCGAAATTCCTCCCTGACCGTGACCGACCATTTCGCAGATCCGGCTGCGGCCAAGCTGCTCGGTGAAATCTCTATCCTTCTTCAATTTCCGACCAGAGCCCGGCAATCCGTCCCGGGCACCAGTGTCCTGTCTTTTCTGCTTCCTTTCTACTCACAGTAAAGCTCTCGAGCCTCAGCCTCAGTCTCCTCCACCCTACATCGCCCTCATTCTCGTCCGACAAATCCCATAATAAGGTCCGTTCCTAGCTCTGATAACTAGACCCACATCATGTTCACCGGTCAGTCCGGCATCAGTATTTGGTTTGGGGGAAAAACCCCTCCGGCGTCGGGTTTTCACTTCGCCGGAGTCTCAGTTTGGACAAAACCCCTTACCTCTAAACCCTCCAAGCCGCTAATTGTCCAGTTAGGAGCTTCATTGTCTAGTTTAGTAATGGAAAGTTGCAGGACAAAAAATAAGGAATGGGTAGTGAAATTGAAAGTAGTATGGAATGGAAGAGAAATTGAAGTCTTTGTTGGAGCAGCTTCAGGCGGAATGCTGATTTTTTAAGAGAATCGTTTATAAGAACAGGAACCAGTTCACAGCCAGGTATGGCCTTGTATCCTTATTGACGTTGTTGATTTTGTGTTGTTTACTTTGCGGAATGCGGAGATGTTAGGTGAGAAGGGATTTGAGGTTGTTGCAATCTGCTAAACTGGAAGAGCTTCTGGCTTCTTGCTCCCAAAACAATGCGGATGGGTTATGAAGTAATACCTCGCTAGCAGAGCTAATCCTTAATCATGCTATTCTTATAGGATTTTGAAAATTGTCTGACCATCTGTAATACCTTTATCAATTGGAATCCTTTTTATCACAAAAGGGTTTGTGTGATTGAAGCCTGATAGTGCAAAGTCTTGAAATTCATAGCTGTTTAACTACATGAATTCAGTAGTAATGGTACTATCTCTTAAAACTATCACTAACTGGACCATGTCTCACGGCTTGAAGTGGAGACAAAACGACTCCGGAGTACCCAATTTTTTGGAGAGACTTCTGGGAGCTGCACGCTTACTGTTACAGGTGATGTGTTGAATTCTTGTTCTGGGATGGACGGTATCAAGTTCCGTAAGCACAGATTTTATGTTATGGGTTCAACTCTGAATCGGATTAGGTCATTTTTGTTTGTGTTAGAGCCAATTTTGAAGGCAGCTGCGTATCCTGTTTGGCTAGCTAGGATATAACTAAGTTTTCCATTCTTGTCTTGTTTTCATGGTTCGATGATTATTATTCTGTCACTTGAAGTGGATGCAGAAGCCTCTGATGCGGTAGCCGACTCTAATTGCTTGTATCGTGCTTCTATTAATCACACTATACACCTGGCATTTCATTAACTACTTATTAGTATTGGGAGTTCCATCTCGAATCGCTGTTTGCTGGAGAATGAGCACCCTTTCATCTATTAGCATTGTTCTCTTCTATTCTATTGGCATCCTTGACTCCTCCTCAGGGAGGTTTGTATTCTGCTTGCACGCTCTTTCTTCATGGAGTTTTCTTTGGCAGTTTTGGCACTGCACGCCTTAGAGTCTTGCTTCAGCAGGAGCAGGTAAGTTCTTACTTATTCCATGTCCAGAAATGTAATGAGAATCTATAACACATTTACTGTTGGCAGCTAAAATGTATAATACACTGATTTGGTTTCCTTCGTAGATATTAGTGGATGTTGTTCCTTTGTCCAATACGATACCAGAATAAGCAGTCTGTCAAAATAAATCTGAAATGAATAGAGGTTGGCATCCGTGTCTGTGTAAAAACCCTTTCGTGGTAAAATAACAAATCTGAGTCACTGTCGTCTTACTGAATCCTGCTTCTCTTCTCCACTTCTCCAGGTATTCGAGAGTACTGTCCGACGAACAAGAAATTTGACTACTGATCTTCAACTAAACTTCCAAGCAGTAACAGACTTGACGGGCGTACCCTTCCACCCAACAATCAAGCTCTTCCCATCCATCCACACCGAACAAGGGCTCCAACACGGCACGCTCTGAGCCATGAGCTCTGCTTGGTACATGGACGAATGACTCAACTGCGCTTCCACCATCCCAAACCGCCGAAAAAAAGCCCTCCATATATCCACCTTCATACTCCTGATCATCCAGGCTCTCCCCTGCCCTAGTTTATCACTTATCGTCCCCATCATCACCATCTTGCTCACCCCTCCCAATGTCTCCTCTCCAAACTTCCTCCATGCCTCCTCGCTCCCCATACATTCCCCCATGGAATCGAACAGCACGCTGGCGAAGAACAGCGACTCCACGAACCAGTTCACAAAAACCGGCGAGTTCCTGCTCCCTTCCATCTCCGTCACCACCATGATGCACGGCTGCACCCTCCGGATCACTTTGATCACCGAGTCCAGCCTCTCCGCGGGACTTGTCAGCGTTCTTGCAACATCATCCGCCAGAACAGCCACTGTCTCGCCCGAATCGAACTGCAACTGGTCCTGCCTCAGCTCTGCCAGGTCACGGACCATGATCACGTAAAAGCTACAGACCAAGTTCATGCTCTGCGCAAAAGTCACCAGCCTTCTCCCTGTCTGCTCGATCAACTCCTTTTCCATGGTCGCCACGGCGGTTATCTTCAGGTGCTCCACACGGTCTCTTCTCCGGGTCGCCAGTGCCTGCATCAGGATCGTCCATTGATGTCCTGTCCTGATCGCCAAATCGAGGACGTGGATCCTTCTAGCGCCCTCCACGTGTTCCACAATCGTCTGGATCCCAGCAAACTGTGCTACCTGGAAGAAAGGAAGTCTCCTCTGAAACTCAACCAACCTGACGCTTGGGTTCATTGCAACTCTGAACAGATTGGACGACTGCTCTTTCGCTTTCCACATGTCCCCGGCCCCAATTCGACCAGTTTCTCGGTCGACCCGGTGTCGCAGGCTTCCAGAGTAGTAGAACACTAGCCGTTGGATTGGGTTTCCCGTTGGGGAAGCCCGACCGTCGCATTGCCTGAGCAGTGCCCTGGCGTCGTCGAATCGACGGTCTCCCACTTTCTCTACAGCTTCCAGGAGAAGCTCGGCGAGCTCCACGCTCTCGGATTGCTCTTCCGAGAGAGGAGCGTCCACTGTGGCCGTCACGACGTCAAATGGCATGTCTTTGGAGTGGGACTGGATGAATTTTAGTGCCGCGATCCTCATAAGATCTTCACTGGACAGTGGCGCCGGCGCTGGTGGATCCGGGTTGTCAACTGTTTCCTTGGTTTCGTGACTTTCGGGGAAGGTTGAGGTTGGCAATTGAGCTTCGTTGGCGCGGTGATCGTCCTGCTGCTTGAAGGGAGGGAAAGGGATGACTTCGATCCCTCCGGCGAACATGTCAAGATTTTCCATCACTCGGAATTTGATCCTTTGTGTGTGTCTGTGTTGACGGATGCAAATAGGGACACAAGGCTAGGTGAGCTGGGAGATGGTTTTATATGTATACGCAGCTCTGGATTTAGTGAGAAATAATGGACAGCCGGAGAAATTGTGCTGTTTTCACTGGGGGACAATCGCTACCGGAGGAACTATGTAAAAGTTAAAGGAATGGAGTTAGAACTGATGGACGATGGGTGGATTCAGGTTGGATCGCCGGCGGCATTATTAATATAATTCCTAATGATCGGTCAATAGCATCAGTCGTTTCCTCCCCCTCGATTGGCAGTACTACCGCACAAAATACGAAAGTAAAACTTGGGGTGACCAAAGTGGCCGTGATCTGCCGAATGTGGCCAAATTAAAAAAATGCACTTAATGCCAGTTAACGGTTAATTGGATATTAAGTTAACGAATTGGTTATTATTTTATTTTTGAAAGGTTCGACTAATATATAGTATTATCTTAAAATTTTATGGCGAGATATAAATAGTTAGGGCTGGTAAACGGTTTCCCAATTAATGGTATAACCGGTTATACCATTAACCGATGGTACCAGCATACGGAGGGGAAATCGCTGAAGTTGGTATACCGAATAGGATTCGGTATATTACCGACGGTATGCCGATTTACCGAATCCTATTCGGTATACCGGCTACCGAAACAAAATCCTTAAATCTCCTGCGTGCCTTCATTCCGCCGCTCCCATCTTCATTCTTACTTACTCCCTTTCCTATACTCCTGCACCAAGAGTGATGACTAGAGAGAGACTAAGAGAGAGTCGCAACCACGGGTAGGGGTGAAAATCGATACGATATCGGTATTCCTATACCAAAACTGAAATCCCAAATATCGAATTACACCCTAAAATCAATTCCAATTCCAATCCATAAATAATTTCGGTCTCCCAATCTCAATCCCTAAATATTTCGGTATTCCAATCGGTACTTCGGTATCCCAATTGGTATTATCGAATACAAAATTAATTACCTTTGCAAGTAATAATTAAACATATAAATTAAATTTGACTATTTAATTTAGGACAAAGAAACTTAAGCAAAGAGTTTTGAATTTGCCTATAGCTAGGATATGGATAAGGAGAATGTAGGAAAGGTGACACCTCATTTCTTGTCATTAATAATCTTTAATTGACGAATTGGAGGCTGAGAGATGACTAATACTAATGTTTAATTTTTTGTGTTTGAAAATAACAAGAGATTAGGTGAGAGACGAGAGTGACTTAAACTAGAAAGTCAAAATTGAGTTGGATGGGGGCTTTTAAGTCGTGAAAGAGTGAGGAATGACCAACGGTTGTGTGCTACATTTCATTGATGTTTAATTTTTGGTATTTCTTGGTATTTCAGTATATACCGATCCCGATCTCAATCCCAATCCTGTAATCCCGAATACCGAATAACACTCCAAAATGAACCCCAATCTCAATCTCTAAAAAATAAACCGGTATTCGGTAATACCAAATAGTGATAAATTCGATACGGTATTCGAGATATCCAAAATACCGATACCAAACTTCTAGCCCTATCCACAGGAGAGAGACGACCAGTCGACTCTTCCTTGCTCCTTCGCTTCCCCTCCTCTGTTTCTCTCTGCCGCCCATCACCATTCCAGCTTGGAGGCCAGCAAACCACCAGTCGTCGCCGTGTTTTCTCTCCGTCACTCATTGCCGCCAGCCCCCCATGTTCCTCTCCTCCCTCTCCCCTCTCCGCCTCTCCCCGTCTTCGTTCCTAGCTCCGATCCTCCATGCAACTTAAGAAGCGACGACCGATTATCCAAGCGTTGGCTAGAGAAGAATCGACCAGAGAAGAGTTACCGTCGGCAGTCGATTGTCGAGGTTTCTAGCGATTCCCACAGCGACGAGTTTTCTCGAGATTCATCGCTGTCATAGCACCACCGCAGATTGCTGGATCTAGAGATTCGCCGCTGCCGCAACACCTCTACAGACGACCAGATCTAGAGATGCGCGAGGGAGATGGAGAGCCGCCAATCGCCGGAGATGTTGCTTTACCTCAAAAGTTTCCCACTCGCCTGCGGCTTCTGCTCTCCGTGCTCGGCAAAGAGTGGGTCAATTGGGGAAGAAGATGAAGACCGAAAACAAGAAAGCCTACTGGTTTTCGGATAACCGGGAATGTAACCGTTATCGGCAAGTCGGTATGTCGGTTAACCGACAATTAATCGATACTGGTAGTTGAGAGTTACCATGGGCATCTCGATAATACCGATAACCGGTAAGTCGGTAACCAGTTATACGGACCGATTACCAACCCTCAAGTAGTAATGTTTGGTTTTTTAGTGTCGAGCAACAACGCACGTGATTTGTTTGGTTGCATATTTAATTATTTATCATCATTAACTCCGAACAGGGAAACCGGCCGGATGGGGCTTTTTCTATGAGGTACTGAACTACTGATCATTGATCAAGGATAATATATTAATTACCGAATGTCCACCCAGGAGACATGAAGTATAATTAATTATATTTACAAGAAACCATTGTTCGATAGGTATATTAATGTGCTGGAAAAGAAAGACAAACACTAATAACAATTCATCAACCGAGTTTAATGATGAACTGTTCAAATTAGCAACCCAAAGCCGAACTTCTGATGCTCATGGTTTGTTGGTTGATACTTAACCAGCACCGGGCTCGACACTTGGTCGAGGAAGTTTAGACAAAAAATATGCACATATAACATGCTTACAAAAGTTACAGTATAATAAAAAGATAAGACATATGATTGGGGAAAGAAACACAATTGCTCAAAGAAAAAAAAAGGAAAACATGCACATAATTCAAGATTAGAGTTGCTTCCCCTAAAACATACATAATGAACCGTCAGGGGAGAAAAAGATTGGTCTCTAATAGAGTTTAGTAATAGGATCATTTGTAACCCTAATTGACGTCAAATAGGTACGTCCAATATTAGGGTAAATTGCAAGGTTGGTCACTGAGTTAACTAAAAACGTTCACGTTTGGTCACTACAAATATTTAATTTCATTATTGGTCACTAAGATTTGTTTAAGAGCTCAAGATTGATCACTCTTCGTTAGTCTCCGTTAACTTTAGCTTATGTGGCAATCAACTCTTCTAGTTGACCGTTAAATATATGATGTGGTAATTAAAAAACAAGAAAATAATCTTTTATATTTTCCACCTCCTCTTCACATTCATTAAAAAAGGGGTAAATACAATATATTAGCCACAACTATTATGAAGCGGTGAATTATAGCTACAACTCTGTAAATTCAAATTATTAGCCATAACTATTGTCCGGGACAAAATATGGCTAGCTGTCTATTACTATTATTGAATTTTTAACGAAGAAGGTCACGTCATCCACCACGGCAGCAACCACGTCGGACTGCTTTTAATTTATAACTTGAAAAGATAAAAATTTAGTCAACATTACTAACGTAATTGTTGACAGAGAGTGTTAACGTTTGGCTAATAATTTGAATTTTCATAGTTGTGGCTATAAGAAAATGACATAATGAAATGATAGATAGATAGACCTTGAATGATATACTCTGAATAAGAAAATAATATCTAAACCTTGAATTGACCGGAGTTTGAGACGTGATACTATACCCCAAACCCTTAAAGATTAAAATATAGGTCTTAATTCTATAAATCTCATATACTAAGATCAATTTAATTAAAAACAATAACGGAAGGTCATGTTTCGCCAAAATACTTCCAACAAATTATTTGCTTCATATTGGTGTTTGGGGCAAGGATTGAAAACGCTTACTGTACCGGAGGGGGGGGGGGGGGGGGGGGGGGGAGGGGTCCGATAGGAAAACCTCCTACCGGATGCTAAATCGTTAGGAGCTCTTTAGTGGTACAAAACGATAATACCTCGATTAACCCACAGTTTCAGCATAAAATACTCTATCGCTGACTTTTTCAGTACAACCTCCGATAAGGTTTTACAATCTTTGGTTTATAGTCTATGATTTAAATAGTTAACACCTAGGGTTCACTTGTCAAGGGTTAGAGTATAGTCTAGATTGCCTTTTCTTAACAATGGTATGCGCTACCTTTTGATTATACTCAAAGTACGATAGATAATATTATATTTATACACACATATTTAAGTGATTAAAATGCTGGAGTTGAAATGTTGATTGTGTATGGCGAACTTCATCAACCAATTTTGTGATAATAAAGACCGAAGTGAAGTTTAAAATATAATATGAAATTCCTTTAGGAACCAAAAGAAATAATAATAATAAAAGACAAATGAAAAGCATAAGTTTTGCACCTAATAAGAGTGAAACTTATATCCGAGAAAGATCAATGGTTAACTCTATGAGTGAATTAAACTCGCAAACTTCAATTTGCCTACAGCCGTGATTGGCCCATTTGAGGTTGAGGCCCAAGTCAGTGAGTCTCCTATGAAAGCAGGACGCAAGTGAACAGATTGAAACGCTGCACTTCATTAAATTAGGTTGAAAAGACGAAAATGTCATTCCTTGAAACTCTCAAGAGACAATTTTTTTAATTCCTGCAATTTTGAGTCATGAATATACTTCATAAATTTTATAGAAATAAAAATTATATAGACCATATAGTAATTATAAAATGAGGGTGAAATATGTTTACCAATTTTGTTTTCTAATAAAAGTTAATTATTTTATTATCCACTTATGTTATTCTCTTTTTATTCATTTTCCAATTTCCACCGAGCTCCCCCTTATCTCTCCGCCCGTTTAGCAATTAACCACAAGCAACACCACCAATTAATCTAGAACTTTCCTTATCTCCCTCCACTTCAACCCAAAGAGCAAGATAAAGGCTCTGTTCTGTTTTCCCCCCTCTAGCGATCCGCATAACTCGTTCTCTATGCATGTATGTTTTTCTCTCTCAAATCTCAACATAAATCAGCAAATCTAGAAACTTAGAACCTCGATCTTTCTCTCCCTCCACTTTATATCCCCTCACTGACTGGGAGAGCAAGATAGAGCCCTTCTTTTTTCTTATGAGTTATGACGGTCAGAGGAAGAAACAACAGATGTGTTGGTTACCATCACATTCACGGTGGCGAGAGGGTGACAGAGACAACAACTGCGTTGGTAACCATCGATTCAGGGTGGCGGGAGGGCGATAGAGACAGCGGCTGCGTTGGTGACCATCGATTCACGGCGGCGGAGGACAATAGAAATTATGGCTGTGTTGGTAACCCCTGATTCACGACGGCGGGGAGCAATACTTCAGATCGTCTACCTGACTTTGGCCGAGGAGGAGAGAAGGGTTTGCCGATCGGCTAAGAGAGCAGGGTCCGGTGAGAAAGATCTTTGCAACCGGTCAATTTCTTCTTCCCTTTCTAGAATGAAAATGCAAATACCATACAGATGTGCGCTGAGAGAATTGGTTATGGGTTGGGAATAGAAGTGGGCCGATGGG